TGACCTCACCCCTTTCCTAAGAGATGTAGGGGACGTGCAAAAGCGCACCAATATGCTTACTGTCCTATTGTTTCTTTTTTTTTATTTGTATCAATTTCATGTATTCATAACCATGTTTATACTTATACCTGTTATCTAATAATTACGTGACAAAATAAATAAATAAATAAATAACCCTAGTCCACCAGGTACTGGACAAACTTCCAGCAGCAAACCTATAAATAAACTGTTGAAATGCGAATTTCACCATGCACAGTTGGACTACCTAGGTACCGAGTCTCCAATGAGGGCATAGAGATGGACCCAGACAAAGTACAAGTCATTCTGGGTTGGCAGCCCCCTCGCACCTGCAGACAGCTACAAAGCTTCTTAGGGTTTGCAAACTTCTACCAACAATTCATCCCCTCCTTCGCAAGGATTGCCAAACCCATGATGGACCTTCTAAAGACAGGGAGTCCAAGAACGAAACCCCACCTGGGGCAACCCCTACAGTGGGACCTAACCTGCCAAAAAGCATTTGAAACACTGAAAGAACTGTTTGCAAAAGAACTGGTACTGAAACATCCTGACCCTGAACAACTCTTCATCATACAAGTGGATGCCAGTGATGTGGCAGTGAGAGCAGTGTTCCTCCAAAGAAATAACCAAGGAAGCTTACAGCCCTGCGTCTACACCTCCTGCAAGCTCACATACACAGAGAAGCAATGGGCTGCATGGAAAAAAGGCTTTCGCAGTGAGATGGGTACTGCAAACCTGGTGCCACCTGCTGGAATGGGGGCAGAGGCAATTCAAAGTCTGGACTGACCATAAAAATCTGGAAGTCCTTAGAACTCCACAAAAACTGTCGCCCAAACAAGTCCACTGGGCTCAATACTTCAACTGATTCAACTTCGTGCTAAAACACATCCTAGGGGAGAAACTTTCTGGCTGATGCCCTCTCCCACATGCCCCGTACAAATGTGAAAGGGAGGAGGTCATAAATGCAATCATCCCCCCTACCAAATAGCTGCCCAAGTAATCACCAGACGACAATGCTGTGATTGGCAAGACTAACCCACAGATGGCATAACTAGGAAACTAAAAACCAAACTGCTAGCAGACTGCTGGTTCCGGGACAATCAACACATCTTAACAAAAAGAGAAAGGGACAAAACTCTATATCCCAGAATCCCTATGTACCCTAGTCTTTCAGAGGAGCCACAACACCAAACCAGGAGACCACTATGGGTTCTTAAAGACTTTACACTTAGCTTGGAGGCAATTCTGGTGGCCCAGCATAAAGAAAGATGTGGACAGTTACGTGAAGGGTTGCACCATCTGTGGCGTGATGAAAAAATGACCAGGAACGCCCCCCAAAGACCACTACCAATGGTAGCAGAGTTGATGGGGCCATGGGAGATTGCAATGGATTTTATAGTGGGGTTGCCGAAAAGTGGGGGAAACATGGTGATCTGGACCCAGTCATGGTACAATTGAAGTTGCCCTGATTGCGAGGGAAAATACACCCAGTATTCCATAGTAGCCTCTTAAAACTCATGGCCAGAATGACCCTGAGGACCCTACCTCATGAGCCTCCAGACCCCATGGTCGTAGGTTGTCAAACCCATTATGAGTGCAGCAAATCCTCAATATCAGGTGGCACAAGACACAACTCCAATATTTAATCAAATGGAAGGGTTGCCCCTTATCAGAGGCATCTTGAGTAGAGTAGGAACATCCAAGCTGATCACCCTGTAGCAAGTTTCCATGCAGAAAATCTAACCAAATCTGGGGGGGAAGGGGTTCGCAACCCTAAGTCCTATACCTGCAATAAATTTGTTTTCTTTTTGTGTCGCACAGGTCACCTTCAAGAAATGAGGGGAGCCGAATGTCAACTCATAAAATATTTCTATGCCTTTTTTATAGTTGCCAACAGAAAAGGGGGGGGGGGGGGATTTGAAAGAGCAGTGCAGCATTTTGGAATTGTTCCATTTATATTTTGCAGAGATTGTAACTAGGCGACCCAAGTTTCTGCCATGCAAATCTCTAATTGGAGATGTGTTTCGTTGAAGAATATGAATTATGATATACCCAGAGGGGTGGAGGAAAACCAGGGTCAAGGGTGACGATGAATTACGTGTCTCAGAATCGACAACATCCAGGTCATGCTGATATGTTAACTCCCAACAAATCCTTTGAGGTTTTGGAAGTTTGACTTGAGACTCATGATTTAATTGGGGTAATTGCCGGAATCCTGACATTAAAAACAACCAGGATTCCTGAGCCCCAGACTTTCTACTTGTTCTCTGATACCTGGGGTGCTTGGAGAGGGACCAAGGAAAGCAACAGAGAAAGAGATAGTCCCTACTCCAAGTCAGAGAACTCCAGGAACCAGCAGCCAAGTTAGAATCCCAGTGCAGCCATCAGTGACCATGGAAACCAAGACATATAGAATGCCCGCCTCAATGTCCAAAGTGAAAAGGGATGAGTATTGATGAAAAAAAGTCCCTTAAGCAGCCAAGGTTGAGTTCCCACAGCCAGGTTACCATTTTAAGATGCAACCCATAAGCAGGCTAGATGGATTAAAATGGAAGAGGAGTGGGAAGAGATCAGAACCCCAAAGTTCCTACTTGAGACCCAAAGTGAATCCCTGGAGCAATTGAGAAATTTAGCTAAGCTAATCAATCACAGAGGAGCTGTGGGGCGCATGTGTATGCCTGCCCAAAGCTGGAGAGGCAGGCAAGAATGCAGCCTCCTTCTCCACCTGCCAGGAGGGAATTGAGCCTGAGGCAACTGCCAGTGGTTCCCCTGCACTGCAGACAACCTGCAAGCACCCCTTCACAAGCCAGAGCTGACAGAAACTGCCAAGCGCTCCAGGCACAGGCAGATGGGGCCCAACCATAAGTTGGAATGGCAGGACTGAACGAGCCACCCTGATTCAGGGGAACATTCGATGGGGACACAGACCAACTGCCTCTATTCCTCGACTCAGCTAGAATCCAATTAGACTGCTCTATCTATCTCATAGAGCCATGGTGATCCTATCCATGATGAACCCAAACAGTTCCGCTTGCAGTGAATCAGATGGAAATTCCAGAAAAGAGGCCCATTTCTGGCCTCTAGAGGGCCTCCAGAGCCCAGGGAAGGCCCTTTTTGCCCTCCCAGAGGCTCGAAGAAAGCCTCTGGAGCCTGAGAAGGGTGAAAAACAGGCCTCCTGGAAGTTCCAGAAGGCTGGAAATAGGCCCATTTCCAGCCTCCTGAGGGCCTCTGGAGCCTGGGGAGGCAGTTTTCATCCTCTTGGAGGCTTGAGGAACGCCTCCAGAGCCCAGGGAGGGTGAAAACATCGCCTCCCCTCATGGTGCAGGAGGCTGACTAGGCCACACCCACAATAGCCACACCCACAATAGCCACACCCACCCAGCAACCAGGCAGAGAACCTGTTGCTGACATTTTTAAAGCCCACCCTGGTCGTAGCTGAAGCAAATGAAGTCAGGAAAAGCTCTATGATTTTATGAGCACCCAAAATTCAGTCATATTGCACAGTGGGTATGTGGCATAATATTTTACAATGGGTTCATTGTAATTTAAAAGTCTTTAAGCAACTGTTAGATAAGGACTACCTATATATATTTAGCTGTAAAATAATTGAAAAAACAGGTAGGCCTTAGTTAAAAACCATAATTGTGTCCAGTATCTGCATCACTAAGGGCTATGGTCACTAAGTATGACTATGTATCGTGCCATGCCCCCACTGGAGTCTGAATCTGTGGGGGAAGATGAGCTGGAACAAGAGCTGACAGAGATTGAGAGGGCGGCTCCATTGGCCTTGGAGTAAAGCCTGCAGACTTATTGGAAGCTGGCTGTGAAACACAAGATTGGCAATCAACTTGATTTCTTGAGGGTCACATCAGGGTTGTGTTTGACCTTGGTGGGGGCATGGTTGATGTGGACAAGTTGGGCATGGCCAGCTCAATGTCACTCGTGTCAGGGCCGCCTATGGTGGCCTGAGCACTCTGACAGTGAAAATGGGCTCCCATGCTCTGTTTTCACCTGCTACGGTGGTTCCTGCAACCCTCTACCAGTGAAAACAGAGATTGGGAGGGCTGCCTGTGGCCCTCCCAAGCTCCATTTTTGCTGCCAGAGGCACTGTGGGCTGGTTCTTCGCTATTTCCAGAGCAGTCCCACAGGCCAGATCTGATCCCCCTGAATTTGACACCCCTGCTGGCAATCATGTGACTATGGGACTCTGGCATCAGTTGTAAATGCATGCCAGTTGTGAACCACCCAAATGGTGATCATGTGGCTGCAGGATTATATGACAGTTTTAAATGCATGGGCTAGTTTGTTATACTATCCTCATTTGGAATGGTCACTAAATGAGGCAGTCAGTAAGCAAGGGTTGCCTGTAGAGACAAAAAAAAGGTTACTATATCTGGACTGTAAAAGTGTGGATCACTAAAGGGAGCAAACATCTATAGAAAATTATGTCCTTTCATTGTTAATTAGCATTTGTTTTACTGCAATTCAAATCAAAAGTAAAAAAGAAAAATGACACAATAATACAGCAAGCGGATAATAGAAGTTTAAAATGTAATGGAGAAATTGTCAGAAAAAGAAGTGAAAGAATGGACAAGTTATTGGTACATTAGGGATAAAACATGAATATGAATAAAATATGCAGATTAAGAAGTCAAGGTTTGGGAACATTTAGAAATTAAGCAAGTTATCGGGACTGAGGAAATTCTTGGTGATGGAGAAGCATAGTTTGATATGTTTAAACAGTTATTGGTTAGTAGGAATATTTTGGTTTGAAAAGTAATTTCTTTATATACTAGACTTTGAGTGTTGGATTGTATTGGATATACATGTACAAACAGAGTTATGACGCTCAGTATACTTTCTGGAATATGCAGTAAGTTGATGTTTGTTTTTCTGGAGATAGAAAATCTAAAATTGTAAACATACAAAAAATTCATTGTCAACATTATTTCAGAATAAAAGGCAAAATATTAAGTACTCACAGCAATAAGCTGGTAAGAATTGTTCATCATTGCTATCAACATATTAAGCAGGACCACCAGTGAGATGACGTTGTAGGTGCCAAACATAGTGGCTCCAACAAATTCAGTGAATTCATGTCGAGCTTTAACATTGGTCACATACAGATTGATGAGTCCAAAGACTGACCAAAATAGTGACTGGAGGGTTTCAAATAAGCTAGAAAACAAACAAAAAAGCAGCAAAAATCGTTACCACAACTTATTCCAGGTGCCTAGAGACCTACAGATACAAAGTATTAAAATGTAACTATTGCTTTAAAATAAAACATTCTTTCATCATAAATTAAACAAGTCAATTCAATTAGATAAAGTGAAAAAGAACAGAAAGTTCTTCTCTACAAATTCACAGCCAATTTCGTTGCTCTTGATCAGGAAAATGCATAGGATGATGATATAAGAATATGATGCAGGCTTTACTTCAAAATGCAGGGAAGTACAGGATGGTGAACTGCCAATATTAACGACAGACTGATACTTATTGTAGTATCTAGTTCCAGGTTGCTTTTATCGCTGGTAAAATCAGTAACAGAATATCAACTTTCATATTTTGGATAAATATTGCTAATGCAGTAGTTTTTCACAACACTAAAAATAATATTTAAACATGACTAGAGTATAGGTCATTGTTTCAGATATATGTCCTTACCTAAACAAAGAAACAGAATGACCAAGGATGTACAAAAATGCAATAGAAGCAGAAGCAACTTCCAAATTCTTGCTAACTTCCCCATTGAGTTTTCTTGTAGGAATCGCAGGGAGCGCTGGAAATCACCTTCCCTTCCAGCAGGTAAATGGCTGCTGCTAGGTGAGGGAAGGAGCAAAAGATTGCAAGATTGGCCAGAAACTGTCACAATGTTAAAAATGAAGCTCATGTGACTAAAGCAACAATGCAGCTATGCATTAGAAGCCAGTAGCATTAAAGCAGCCACACCTTTCCCATATTTCTTACCCTTAGGAGCCATGGCTTCTGAATTTTGGACATGTTCTATAGTTTAGTCCACTTGAGGTACATTGGTTCAAAAATTGTTGCCTTACAATACACTGTTTTGCCCAGTTAAAGATCACAACAACTAAAGTAGTATTTTTAATAGTATATAGATCACCATTTCATATTAGCCATCACTGTTGTCTGACTCAAATCAATCTTCCTGTAAGAGTAATGCAGTCACTTTCCAACTGGCTTTTTTATTCCACCTGATGATTTGCTAAAAGAATCAAAAGTGAAGGATCTCCGTGTGATATCCTGAAACCCAAAACTATCAACGTTTTTGTCTAAAATGCATTTTATTTCTGTAGTAATAGAGAACCTGAATGAAAACAACTTTAACATTGTACATTACAATTTCTAAAAGTGTCTCCTTTTGTGCCTTCCTCCTAAACTTCAGTATAGTAAATAGAAGCAGAGCCAAGTTACAATATTCAGCCTATCATTTCTTCCTTCTGCTCTGCTTAATTTAGACTAATAAATTAATCATAGTTGGTAAGGGCTGAAGTATTTGTATCCTTTTTTAGTGGGTGAATAGAAGACTTAAAGAGCAAAACTGGTCAACAACACATTATACATTACATGAAACAAATCCACCTGATTTGGAGGTGGAATAGTTTAAGGACTGTTATTGGTAAGTCTTTGAAACCACTCAAACACCTCCATAATAAGATCTAACATTTTCTGTTCCATTCACTATGTTGGGCTCTGAAGGTAGCAAATGAAACCCTGGGAACTGAATGTTGTCTGTGGGCTTTTCTTTTTATTCTTTCCAATGAGATTCTGAAAAGAAATTACTGTACCTAGATTTTGGGGAGGAAAACAAGAAAAAAAAAATCTGCCTCCCAGCAATTTGCCTCCTCGCAGCAAACAGCCTGGTCAGCTTCAGTACAGCCTGATTAGCATAATCAGCTGCTTGTGCTAATCAGGCTGTGCTGAAGCTGACCAGGCTGTTTGCTCTTTGCTGCAAGGAGGCAAATTGTTGGGAGGCAGAGACTGAACGGTAGGGACTGGTGGGTGGGGCTTCGGCAACATTCGGTATATAAGATGCACAGACATTTCCACCCACTTTTGGGGGGGTTGCATCTTGTATACCGAAAAATACAGTACATAAAGAGACTCTGAATATTTATCTATAATGGTCAGCAAGAAAACAGGTTAGATTAGGACCACATTTTCTGAGCTAGGGGAAGCAAGTGAAAAATAAATGAATTCAAAAATAGGTCAGATCTTTCTCTTTGATTAGAGTTAGTTACAGTTGATTCTGTTCTATATTAGCATACTCCAAACACTGAATCCTGATTGGTCCACACGGACCGCAACCCGATTGGTCAACTGAACAGCCGTGATTGGCATGCTAAGAATCAACCGTGATTGGCCGAGCCGATCGCAGGAGATTCAAAGCCCTGTCATTGGCCACCAAGCCGCGAACAATCCCTATATGAAGGGCTGCCACGGCTCCAAGATCTTGGACAAGACTGTATACTGAAATAAAGAGCTAAATGTACACTTGGTCTCGCATCTCTGTGGGAACCGATCTACCCGATCCAACACTGGCGACGAAGGTGGGATCGTGAGACAAGAGACCAATCGAGCACGTGGCGAAGCGGCACAAAACGACTGACAAGATGGCCAGCAGCACCTTGCCACCCGCACCCTTCAACCAGGCTGCCGAGGATTGGGAATCAGACATTGACTGATTCCTAATGTTCCTCGAGAGCAGCAACCTAAAAGATGCCAATGGGCAGAAAAAAAGGGCTGTGTTCCTGACACACTGCGGGCCCGCAGTGTTCAAGATGGCTAAAGCCCTAGCCAAACCCGCTGACGTGAAGGAGATCGATTGGGCCAACCTCGAACCATTGCTGCGGTGCCACTATGCCCCCACCGTGCCCAATCTCATCAGAAGGCATGAATTCTATTGGCGGGACCAGAAAGAGGGCAAGAGCATCAGAGACTTCGTGGCCACACTGAGGGACCTCGGGGGCATGTGTGGCTTCACCGACATGGATGAGGCCCTATGAGACCGCATGGTCGTCGGGCTCAGGGACCCCATTCTTCAAAGCTGACTGATGGCGAGGGCAGACATCTCAGTCACCGAGGCCATGGCTGAAGCGACTGCATCCGAAGCAGCCAAGCAGTCAGCAGCTCGGATGTGGCAGATGAACGCGACGGACCAGCCGACAACCATCGAAGTGACCCCGGCACTGGAGAAACACCAGGAAGCAAGCCCCAGGAAGACCGGCACCACCCACCATGGAGATGTCGACTCTTTCTCCAAAACCGAGGACGAGGAGATCCACCGACTACAGGCAGAATGAGACCAGTGGGAACGGAGAGGCCATAAGTCAGGGTTCCAGTGTGCAGGTTGTGGAGGTGATCACCCCCGCTCAGAATGCCGATTACTTGACGCCATCTGTCGGCATTGTGATAAGCGGGGGCACATCGCCAAGGTGTGCCAGAATAAGAGGAACCACAGCCCCTGGCGACAAGATGGCAGCCCCCAGCGATGAGATGGCACCCCCCCAGGACCAGAGAATGCCACGCCGAGAGCCGGTGGAGCCGGGATGGCCGGAACAAGCAACTCAGCGAGACGCGGCAGAGAGAGGAGACCCATCAGACGGTTATCATCGGCCACTCCTCGACCATCAACGCCCGGAAGGTGCACATGGAGGTAGGCATCGAAGACCAACCATGCGAGATGGAGGTGGATTCTGGATCCTACCTCTCCATGGTTTCCTGGCGCACAATCAAACGCCTGGTGCCTACCATTCACCGGCGCAAATTAGAAAATCTGACCCTAAAGGACTATCAGGGAAACCGCATCCCTGTAGTCAGAATTGGACACTTCAAAATAACCTTCAAGGGGCGTACTGAGGTGCTTCCGCTCATCATCATGGACAAAGACCACCCAAGCCTGCTGGGACTGCAATGGTTCGCACTGCTGGGAATCGAGGTGACGGGCGTCAACCATGTTGCCGAGATGGACTGGGAAGCAACACTCATGAGGGACTTCCAAGAGGTCTTCAACGGAGACCTAGGCAAGTACCGGGGGTCTCCGATCTCTTTTAATCTAAACCCAAATGTTGCGCCAATCCGCCTTAAACCGCAGCGAGTGCCTTTTGCGCTCAAGCCCAAAATCGATGAGCAATTGGACAAGCTCATCGCACAAGGGGTCTTAGAGCCAATTGACCATGCCCGGTGGGAGACCCCCATAGTCACCCCAATCAAGCCGGATGGGTCCGTAAGGATCTGTGGTGACTACAAGGCCACCCTCAACCATGCACTGCAGCAGAGTGCCTACCCCGTCCCAGTGGTACAGCACCTCCTGCACTCACTGCGGGGAGGCTGGGTCTTTGCGAAACTTGATCTGGTGCAAGCATACCAGCAACTGCCAGTCAATGCTGAAACTGCAGAGGTGCAAACCATCGTGACCCACCGAGGGGCGTTCCGATGCAAGAGACTCCAATTCGGAGTCAGCGTGGTGCCTGGGGTCTTCCAGAGCCTGATGGAAAGGCTACTCCAAGGGATCAAGAGGGTGGTGCCCTACTTTGATGACGTGCTGGTGTCAGCTACCAATAAAAACCAATTGGAAAGCCGCCTAAAGGATGTGTTACAAAAATTCAAAGACTCTGGGCTAAAAGTTAAAAAAGAAAAGTCTCAGCTCTGCACCGAAAAGGTACCTCCTAGACAAGCACGGAATCCACCCAACAGAGAAAAAGCTCAGAGCCATCAAAGAAGCCCTTAGACCAAGGAATAAGACGGAACTGCAGGGTTTTCTTGGACTTATTAATTTTTATATTTTCCTGCCCCACAAGGCGACTGCGGCAGAACCCCTGCATAGGCTGTTGGACAAAACAGCCACCTGGACCTGGGGGAAGCGAGAGGAAAATGCCTTCAAACAAACAAAAGACCTGCTAACATCAGACGCAGTCCTCATCCAATACAGCGAGACCCTACCGCTAACCGTGACATGCGATGCGTCACCCTTTGGTGTCGGGGCCATCCTCAGCCACACGCTACCAGATGGGAAAGAAGCACCCATCGCCTTCTTTTCAAGAACACTATCCAAACCGGGGAAATGCCAGTTGCAAGGCTTCGGTGGTGGCAGGAATCCGCTTTTCTGCGGGTACCTGCTGCGCTCGCTGCTGAGGTACCCCCAATCCAACTGGATT